ACCTCTTTGGGGGTCCAAATGCCATCTTTCTGCTTTCCCTTCCTCCATGCAGCCAGAGGAAGGGCAGCTGTGTCCCCCCAAACCCTCCTGAAACAAGGGACGATGGGCAGGGTGGGACAGTGAGCAGCTCTGTCCTCCGCTCCTTTTTAAAAGTCACGTCGAGCCATTTCTGGCCATTTTCTGAGACAGATTTTTTAATAAGCAAACATTTTAACGAGTGCTTTGTTCTTAGCGAGAGGCATGGCAGGATAAGGAAGCACCTAACAAGGACTACAGCCCTTGCACACAACCTCAGGGCATGCTCCCAAACCCGGGTTTCTACCCGGGGAGATCTCACCCCAGCGCCGATCCTTTTACCTGCTGTAGCCTTTGGTGGAGAATTGATTTCCCAGCTTGTCTTTCCTCAGACCTATTTGGCTAAATTTGTCAGGAAAGCAAAGACGGAGCGGTAATTTAAGCTGGAATCTTAACGCCCCTCCATATCTCGGAGGATTGCATGTGCCCAGATCTGCTGAGCAATGCACAGGAAAACCACCAAGCACCCAAGTGCAGTGGCAGGATCAGCCCCGAGATACCGTGAAGGATTCAAGACTAAGTATAGGGTAGTTTTGTGCTTTTATTCCACACCATAAAAAGCCAGCGAGCTAGCGATACATACTTGAACCCCTGCAGGCACCCAAGAAAGCCAAGAAGAGGATTGAAGGTGCTAATTCCAACGTCTTCTCCATGTTTGAGCAGGCCCAGATCCAGGAATTCAAAGAGGTAGGTGGATTTGGTAGAAATGACTGTGGGTCCTTGATGCAATGTGACCTTCAGCTCTTTCCTCAGCGCTTTCAGATCGGTGACAGCTGGTTTGCAGCAAGCGGCAGCACGCCCGCTTTTGAGTGGTTTTATTTTAAAAGTGCGATTAACAACTCGGTGACATCGTTAAGTGTGGCGTCGCCTCAAAGCGTCCTAGGAGCCCGCACCCCGCAGAGGAGCCGGCGGCATCCAGGAGAGCAGAGGCACGTCCTCCCAGCCAGCTCCCACCCACCGTGCCAGGAGCTCTTCACCACTTGGGTGCTGGGTCCTTGCACAGCTGGGTCATGGTCCTGTGTAGATCCCAGTTACAAGGGTAACTGGTCCCAGTTGGGGGAGCTGATGGCTCAGGCTGTCCTCCCCAGTTGGTCTCATCCTGGGGTGAGAGGGGTTTGGCCAAGGAGAGGGTCTATACGGCATTAGGGTTTGGGCTGCCGTAGGAAGCCATCACCCCACATGGCCCAAGGGTGCAGGGGCCAGGATTGCTGCTGGATGAGGGTGATGGTTGTTGCTCAGGGTGGATCCCCAAGCCCCATCCTGCGCAGGGCTTGAAGTGCTCTGTTCCCATCCAACTCCATGGGAGGAGGAGGAGGGTCCTAAAGCCTTTGCAAAGGCCGACAGCTCTCCCTGTGCTCCCTGCCCTCCTCCTGTGCTTCCAGGCATTCACCATCATGGATCAGAACCGGGATGGCTTCATCGACAAGGCAGATCTGAGGGACACGTTTGCTGCGCTCGGTGAGCCCCCTTTTAGGACCCTCCCCTCTCCAACAGCTCTGATGACGTTAGACCCATTAAGTGAGAAACCAGCCGCGAGCCCCCATTTAATCAAGCCCCAGCGGTTAACTGGATCTCCTGTTTTGCTGAAAACCTCCTGATCTGAAACCACTTCTGTTAGCCGGTGAGATCCCACGTGGGGTGACTCGGAGCAGCTCCAGCAGCAGCAGGTGTTTAATCATAGAATCATAGAGTGTTTTGGGTTGGAAGGGACCCCTAGAGGTCATCCCATAGGTACGAGAGAAGAGCCAGCTCCTGGATTATACACAGCCAAATGCTCCCTGCCTTCTCGCCTGCTAAAAAGCACCTGGCTGTGCCCATCCCATGGCATCCCTGGGTGTATGGGCATTAGTGGGATTTACGGGATTTGTGGGAAGCTGTGAAGTTGTGAGCTTGGCCAGCACAAACCAGTGATGGGTCCAGAGAGTCCAAAAAAAAACCCAGGTAGAAGGATGTAGGCTTTCAGTCCTGTCCAGTTCTGACACCAGGGGCCAGGGAGGAACCACAGTGCTGGTGGTTTTGACCCAAAACACCTCCCGAGGAGGGCTGAAGCAGGCTGATCCATGGAGCAGTGTGGCAAGGGAAGGAAGCAGCACAGCTCAGTCCTGTCCTTCTGTGACCCTGGAGCCTGAGAAACCAGGGCTGGAGATGTCCAGCCCACCCGTCCTCTGCCAGCACGCTGTTCCTTGTCGGAGGTGGCTCCCCAGGGCTGTGCCGCTTCCCTTGGATGGGGGAAAATCCTCCCCGGCAAGGCTGCCATGGTGTGTCCGTTAGCCCCCGGCACATAGAGCAGCACCTGGAGGTCTGCACGCATTTGCAGCCAGAGAGGAACATGCAATTCAGCCATGCTGCTCTCCCCTAGGGCGCCTGAATGTGAAAAATGAGGAGATCGATGAAATGATAAAGGAGGCACCCGGCCCGATCAACTTCACCGTGTTCCTCACCATGTTTGGGGAGAAACTCAAGGGTGAGAGGGTACCCAGGGAGCTGGGGGGGCTGGGCAGGCACCCCCAGCACCACCAATATCCTGTCCCACTTGGGGAAGCCACCCAACTCCTGGGGCCTCCATCACCCTTCCAGGTGAGACCCATCAGAGGCTCCTTGGAGGCCTTAGGTGAGAGCTGCTAAAGGAAAGGTGGGTGGCACCGACTGCCATACTGCAGCCTTCAGAGCCCGGGAAGTGGGTCGGAGCAACGATGCCTCCCACACCACAGTCAAGAGGTGACACCTGGGGGCGACCACAGGATACCTGTGAAATTATCTCCCCCACCCACCCCTCCCGCATCCCTTAGTGCCACCTTCTCCCAGTGGCAGCACAGGGACCCCCCCAAAGGACAGAGGCTTTGGTGGGACCATCACTGGCAACAGCCCCTCTCCCCAAAAGCTCCAATCCTCGTCCTCCAACTCCTGGACTTGCCCTCCCCATCACGAGACACTGCAGACAGGACAAACTCAGTGTCATGTACCCTAGCAACTGTCCTCAGGAGGACCCCGTGCTCCAAAACTCATGCTGACTTGCAACACCAATAGTCCCAAAGCAGGGCTGGGGCTGCCCGTCCAGAGATCTGCATCTCATCCCATGTCTCCCCAACCTGTTGGGGGTTATGAGCACATCTCCGTGCCTCAGTTTCTCCAGCCATTAAAAAAAACCCCAGCAGGCTGTGATGCTGCTGTCCCCGTAGAAGGAAGGGACAAGAGATCTTGCAGCACCTCTGAGCCTGCTGACACCAATGGTGGCACCGATGGCCACCCCAGCAAGGACACTGGCTACAGTGTGGCTGACCCAGAAGCCCTGTCCGGCTGCACCCTGTATCATTTACACAACCTAAGGCATGCAGCCTCCCCGCAGATCTCCAGGAAGCTACATGGCCCCAAGGGCCTGTGCCTGGAGTTCTATAAATACACCCAAAAGATTAGATAGACGCCAGATGCCAGCGTGGTGGTGACACAGCCTGCTTTGTGGCCACACCACCACCCTACATCTACTCCTCTACATGCCACCACCCGTGCTCAAGGCCCTGGGCTGGCGTGGGAGGGCTGTGGGGTCTGCATTCCCGCAGGGACCCCGCTTCCCTGCCTGCCCCCCATCTTCCCCCTGAAGGCTGGGGGAAGCAGGAGGCTGCAGTGGGCTTTCCTCCTCTGCTGCCTTCAGTAGCCATGGCCATGTCACCCACAGGTGCTGACCCGGAGGAGACGATCCTGAATGCATTCAAGGTGTTCGACCCAGAGGGGAAAGGCCTGAAATCTGCTTAGTGAGTGTAGGGGTGCCCAGAGGGGAGGGTGGGCATCCCCACCAAGGCCCCCTTGGTGCTCACCACATTCTCTTGTTTGCAGCATCAAAGAAATGCTGATGACGCAGGGCGAGAGGTTTTCCCAGGAAGAGGTAGGAGGTCCTTCCCACCCTCTGCCAGCCTCCTGTGCCCTCTGTCCCAAGAGACCCCCAATCCCTCCTCCCAGTCCCAGCCCCAGCCCCAAACCCCTTCTTCGCTGCCTTTTCACCCTGGCTCTTTCCCGGCAGATCGATCAGATGTTCGCAGCCTTCCCTCCAGACGTTTCTGGCAACCTGGATTACAAAAACCTCGTCCACGTCATTACACACGGCGAAGAGAAGGACTAGCCCATGCTCGGCGCTGGGGCTGGCACCGCGAGATCACCTCTCTCTAGGTTGCATTGCGGGGGGGGGTCTCTTTTGTTTCTCCCCCGGGGAACACATGAATGGCATCCACATTAAACTGCCTTCTGGCAAGAGGAAATCCAGCCGCTGGTGCAAGCGGTGCTTGGCCTTGTGCGGTGCATCTGCATGGTGCGTCTGTGCCCGGTGGGAACCCTTGGATCCATCCCAGACCCCACTGTCCCCAGCCTCCCAGCCCCACTGCACATCACCCTCGCGTGCCCTTAGGTCCCTCCGCCCCACTGTTTCCCAGCCTGGCCCAGCTCCTAGCCTCAAACAGCCCATTTCGCACTGGGCTGTAGCTTTGAAGCCATCAGGTCCCACCAGCCCAGGACCAGCACTGACCTCAGCTTTCCTTTAGGCAGCAGAAAGCTGCCCCCTTCTCCCAACTTAGCAGGGAACACCCAGCAAGAGCACTCATCCCCCCAGGCCCTCCCCAGCATGGCATGGTGCAGGACTGGGACCGTGGCCCCCGTCTCCTCCCACGCAGCCACGCGATGCCCGGCTGTGGCAAACGCGTTGGGTTGTGCGCCGGGGCCGGCACCCCGCCGGAGAGCAGCTGCTCCCACCCCCGGCCACAGCTGCCGTCAGCAGTGGGCGAAGCCATGCCGAAATATCACCCGGCGAGCTTTTGAAGCCTGCAGAAGGCGTTGGGCTCCTTCCAGAGGAGAAGGGAGATGGAACGACGTCCCAGGCACAGCAGCAGAGGGGAAGCTCAAGAGTGAAAGTCTTTATTTAATTCTTACCCACCGGGCTCTCACACCTTGACGCCGTTCCTCCCCTTCTTGCCCGTGCTGGCGGTGTTGCCCCGCTCCTTCTCCCGGCTCTGGA